AAAAACATGAAATAAACATGAACCTACAGCGGGTCAATTAGTTCTTCAAATGATACTTTTAAGTTAATTTTATAGTTTTGTGATATTAATAATGGTAATGTATTGATATTTTTCTAGTTTTGATTTAAGTTTGCTTGTTTAGCGTCGTCACAGTTGCTAGGTGACAAGACGTACGCCGGGGTAAGGAGGGGAGGCTAGACCGTCCAAATCCACAGCCTCTTTTTTCCGGTCTTCCCGGTCTACCAAGGACCCGGCCTGCCGAGACCAGGGAGTCTGGGTCCTCCGGAGGACCCGTCCTGCCGTTTTGGACACAGCCATATGTGCAAAATATTAAAAAAGGTGGATTGTGTATAAATACAAATTAATTTCAAGAAGCTAATAAAACTACTAGATAGCTACAGAAATATGAGTATTTTTAAAGAAATCAGCTTGTAATGGTGATTCGATCTAAATTTTATGTAAGCATATAATTTTCTACATACATGTCAAAATATTACCATCATAGGATTTTATGGTTGTGAGAAGTGGGCTGTTCTTCTTCTTTTTTTTTTGAAAACCATACTTTAAATATTTAATATCTGATTAAAAGCAAGTTTTAATCTTGAACACACAAATATGAGTTACTACAGAGTGCTGCCAAACTTCTACCATTATGCAGCACTACTACAAAGTAAAATAAACTGAAACCCAGACTGTGAGCATGATGAAGGCAACTAACCTTTAACTCTGTCACTGTCAGTGTATGGTGTTGATGTGACGGGAGAATCTGGTCAGATTGCATCCCCGCTGTATCCAAGGACATACCCCAATAACGCCAACTACCACTGGACCATAACTGTGGAGGGAACAAGCTACGTTCAAATCCGCTTCCTGGACATGGACATAGAGGACCTGTATGACTGCTACTACGACCATCTGAAAGTAAGTCTTTATGTGCTGTAGTAATATGTAGGTTGATTTCAATGACAAGTTGAACAAATCCATTGACTTATTTTGACATAACTTTAAAACTGTTGATGTGGCAGCATTTCAGACAGACAGGTCAGGTCTCTGGGACCACACATCACTCCTCTCTAACCTTGCTGTGAGAGCAGTTTCCCCATCCTACAGATCTTTCACTTTTTATTCAAAGAATTCTTTCAYTTTAAAAGTCCAATCTTTTAAACCYTTCACTCCTCCTCCCTCACTAGGATCTTTGTTGTCCTGATCGATGTGAAAAAGTCTTGGTCACATGCATGAAGCTGCAGATTGGTGTGAAACTCAACGTTAGACTTAAAGCTTCATGTTGTGTCTTGGAAAGTTGAAAGATGAGACGTTCTTGTCTTTTTGATGCTGGTCTTTTATGTTTGACAAAGATGGCCTCCTCCCCTACATTTTACTCAAATATCTGAACATTACTCTTATGAAAAGAGTGTAGAGGTCAACCCATACATTGGCCTGATGGTATTTTTGTGTTTGTTTGTGCTTTTTAAAAWTTTTTTTTATTTTGCATCCCATTGGCCGATGCGTTCAAAGATCCATTAGCGCATTCAGCAGCCATGCCTTGAAATCACCACTGCTGCTCACACCCTGGCAGAGAGTGGCTTGTAATGTTGTAAGACTG